ACCCAGCTAATTTTTCTATTTTTAGTAGAGATGGGGGGGTCTCGCTCTTGCTCAGGCTGGTTTGAACTCCTGAGCTGAAGTGATCCTCCCATCTCCGGCTCCCAGAGTGCCAGGATTACAGGCGTGAGCCCCCATGCCTAGCCTCTTTTAGCTATTCTTAATCCTTTGTGTTTTTATATAAATTTAAGGATCAGCTTGTCATTTTCTGTGTGTGCGCATGCACGCGCACACACACACACAGCCTGCTGGAATTTTGATGGGGGTTGTATTAGATCTATAGATCGATTGGGAAATAATTTTTTTTTTCAATTGTGGAAATAATTTTTAACATTCTCTTAAGTAGAAAGATTATATTATGAAACTTTAAAAATTATCATAAGAGAAGTCAACAGAAAGATATTATGATTGCCTTTAAAGCTTATTAATAGTTTGTTGGATTGGGAGTTTTTAAAAAATAATTTATGAGTTATTGAGTACACTGTGTGTCGGATGGTGGGCTAATTGCTCTAGGTTTTCTAAGTATTTATCCTGACTTAACCCTTTAAGTCTTTGAAGATTGCTTGTGGTATATGTTTGGATAGTTGTTTGTTCATGGTTGTGAGTAAATGTTAATTGTGAGGAGAAAGGAAAGTGGGTGTACATTTTCAAATAAAGTATATGAATTTTTATTGTGACATATGGCACTATTTCTGTATTTTGATGTTCTTCCCATCCTTTTAACTTCTGCGTTTGTGTTAGAAGGCAGTGTCTAACAAGGGCTTTATCATGCTTTCTGCAGACTAGTATCTTTTCAGTGTCTTGTGTTCTAGAAGGTCTGATTTCTCTTCTCTTTGAGAACAAGCAGGCAAGAGAAAGGGAGAATGTATTCTCTTGTAGTATTTCATCTTTAACTACTTATCTCCATTCTGTAGCCGTGCAGTCGGAGGCCCTTGTGCATGAAGACAGATTTGTTCTATGGCCTCGGAGTTGGGTGCCGGGGACGATGGCGGCTGCACTGAGCTGGCAAAGCCCCTCTATCTTCAGTACCTGGAGAGGGCCCTCCGGTTGGACCATTTCTTGCGACAAACATCAGCCATCTTCAACAGGAATATTTCTAGGTGTGTTATTCTATCTTCGCAGTATAATGTTTAACCACATTTCTGATTTCCATCATCCCTATAGATTTTAGGAGTAAAATATTTCAGGATTTTTGTTATGTTTGGTATTTTCTTTTCTTTCTTTCAAATAAAACATAGTCAACTTATTTAAAGGACCAATTTCTTCTGCAAAGTGTCCAGTTCTTCTAATCTTAAATTAGAATATTTTGCTGGGTCAGCTGTGATTTTGGATTCATCATTCTTCAATTTATAGTGATGACAGTGAAGATGGACTGGATGATAGCAATCCCTTATTGCCCCAGTCTGGGGATCCCTTAATAGAAGTTAAGGAAGAACCTCCAAATTCATTGCTTGGTGAAACTTCTGGAGCAGGCAATTCTGGAATGTTAAACACGTATTCACTGAATGGAGTTCTACAGTCAGGTCAGTGTCGTATGAGATCCTTCTTTGGACTATCAGTTATCTTGGAGCAGTCATACTTTAATTTTTTTATTGTTTATTTATACAGAATCAAAATCTGACAAGGGGAATTTATATAACTTCTCTAAGTTGAAGAAAAGCAGAAAATGGCTAAAGGTAAGGGATAATGCAGAATGTAATTCAAATAATTTACTAACATTGTTAATAGATGGGAAAGTTATCAGTCATTTTGGCATCTGGACAGATGTTTTTCCAGATGTTAGTCTTTTATACTGGATATGATTTTGTGAAGAGATTATAGAGAAAATCTGGAAGAGTCAATGAAGTCATTTTAGCAAACATTTACTGAGTACAGGTGAAGTGTTCCTTATCTGAAATGCTTGGGACCAGAAATGTTTTAGATTTTTTTTTGGATTTTGGAATATTTGCAATACATAATTAGATATCTTGGAGGTGGGACCCAAGTCTATAAACATGAATATTATTTATGTTTCATATATACCTTATACACATAGCCTGAAGGTAATTTTATTTTTCCCTTGGGAACACTGAATGAACGCTTGTTGTACACCAGTGTTTTTTTTTTTTTTTTTGAAACAGAGTCTCGCTTTGTTGCCCAGGCTAGAGTGAGTGCTGTGGCGTCAGCCTAGCTCGCAGCAACCTCAAACTCCTGGGCCCAAGTGATCCTCCTGCCTCAGCCTCCCGAATAGGTGGGACTACAGGTGCAAGCCACCATGCCTGGCTAACTTTTTGTTTCTATTTTTAGTTGACTGGCTAATTTTTTTCTATTTTTATTAGAGACGGGGGTCTTGCTCTTGCTCAGGCTGGTCTTGAGCTCCTGACCTCAAGCAGTCCTCTCACCTTGGCCTCCCAGAGTGTTAGGATTACAGGTGTGAGCCACTGCGCCTGGCCTGCACTAGTGTTTTGTTTTGCTTTTTTTTTTTTGAGACAGAGTCTTGCTCTGTTGCCTGGGCTAGAGTGCCGTGGCATCAGCCTAGCTCACAGCAACCTCAAACTCCTGAGCTTAAGTGATCCTCCTGCCTCAGCCTCCCGAGTAGCTGGGACTACAGGCATGCGCCACCACGCCCAGCCTTGCACTAGTGTTTTGACTATGACCTATATCACATGAGGTCGGGTGTGGAATTTTCCACTTGTGGCATCATGTTGGCACTCAGAAAGTTTCAGATTTTGAGGCATTTCAAAATTTCAGAATAGGGATACACAACCTGATATAAATCACTGTGGGGAAAGGGATTTAAGAAATTGATCCTTGCCCTCATAGGCTCACATTATAATCAGGATAATTAATCTGTCTTCCATCAGTGTTGATAGAGTATATCCATGTGCCAGGTACTGTTGTGGATGGGCAAGTTTCCTGCCCTGTGGAGCTTATATTCTAAAGGAGAGAGGCAATGAGTAAGCCTATAAACAAATAAATACAGGTTCTTTAAAGAGGTAACATTTCAACTGATTTATAAATGATCAGAGAGAACCATGTTAAGGTCTAAGGTAATAGCATTTCAATCAACAGAAACAACTGTCCTTAGGAAAGAAGCAACTCAGTATGTTTAGGGGAGAAAGGAAGGCTATATGGCTGGAACACAGTGAATGAGGAGGATGGTAGAAGGTGATGTTAGAGAATATGATCACATACGGCCTTGCGTACCAAATTGAGGAATTTGTATTTTACTCTAAGTTATAGTTGTAAGCTCTTGGAATGTTTATAAGCAGACGAGTGGTATAATCTCATTTACACTCTTAAAGATTATTGTCAGTGGCCAAACTCAATTGAGGATAGTATTTCTTCTGTTGAAACTAATTATTTCTCTATTTTATACTTTTTCTGTGAAGAATTCAAAGCAATTTAAATCCTTCATTATTATCACTAGGCCCTTTAAAAGGCTCGTGTGTCAGTAAGACTTTAGGCTGTTGGGTATGCAGAAATTGTTATGCTTAGCTATCTTATTTTGAAAAATTGAGTTATAATTCACTTGCCATAAAATTCACCTTTTTAAAGTGTACAATTTAGTGGTTTTTAAATATATTCACAAAGTTGTACAGCCATTACCACAGTCTAATTTTAGAACATTTTTAACACCCTAAAATGAATCCTATACCTATTAGCAGTCACTCTTCATTCTCTACTTTCCTCAGCCATTGTCAACCACTAATCTGTTTTTTGTCTTATTGATGGGCCTATATTGAACATTTCATATAAATTAAATCATATGTGGCCTTTCGTGACTGGCTTATTTCCCCTGAGCAAAATGTTTTCAAGATTCTTCATGTTGTAGCCCCCATTAGTGCTTCATTCCTTTTTATGGCTGAATAATACTAATCTCTTCTTATCTGGATATACCATATTTTGTTTATCTATTCATCAATTAGTGGATATTTGGGTTGTTTCTCATTTTTTAGCCTTAATAGCTTGCTTTCTATATTCCTTCATACCCTATCAGTAGTTTTTTTGTTTTGTTTTGATTTTTTGCCTTGGTATTTGACATTTAGTTAGAATATCTTATGTATAGTGTAAGTACTTAGAGCAATTTAGCCTTTTTGCTGTTTATAGCATATCCCATACTTTGGTGCACTTTAATTTGTGCTCACTAGATTTAATTAATATCCTATGTTTTTCAGTTGAATTGATAAAGTGTGTAACAAGGGAAATTGGGGATGGGTGCAGTGGCTCACACCTGTAATCCTAGCACTCTGGGAGGCCGAGGTGAGAGGATTGCATGAGCTCAGGAGTTTGAGACCAGCCAGAACAAGAGTGAGATCCCGGCCCGGCGCGGTGGCTCACGCCTGTAATCCTAGCACTCTGGGAGGCCGAGGTGGGTGGATTGTTTGAGCTCAGGAGTTCGAAACCAGCCTGAGCAAGAGCGAGACCTTGTCTCTACTAAAAATAGAAAGAAATTAATCGGACAACTAAAAATATATAGGAAAAAAAAAATTAGCCGAGCATGGTGGCGCATTCGTGTAGTCCCAGCTACTCGGGAGGCTGAGGCAGAAGGATTGCTTGAGCCCAGGAGTTTGAGGTTGCTGTGAGCTAGATGGCATTCTAGCCCGGGCAACACAGTGAGACACTGTCTCAAAAAAAAAAAAAAAAAGAGTGAGATCCCGTCTCTACTAACAATAGAAAAATTAGCCAGGTGTTGTGGTGAGCACCTGTGTAGTCCCAGCTACTTGGGAGGCTGAGGCAAGAGGATTGCTTGAGCCCAGGAGATTGAGGTTGATTGCTGTTAGCTAGGCTGACGCCACAACACTCTAGCCCGGGCAACAGAGGGAGACTGTCTAAAAAAACAAAATAAAACGAGGGAAATTGGAATGACTGTCTTAGCTGTTTTTGTTGTTTTTTGGGATCTGGAAAAAAAAATGCTTAGATTATAAACAGAATGCTTCACAGCAAAAGTTATATTTCTATTTTTGTCCTTTTTCAGAGCATTCTGCTAAGTGATGAGTCTAGTGAGGCAGATTCTCAGAGTGAAGACGATGATGATGAAGAAGAACTCAATCTCAGCAGAGAAGAACTTCACAACATGCTTCGACTGCATAAATACAAGAAACTTCACCAAAATAAGTATAGTAAAGACAAGGAGGTGAGAGTTTCTGGAGAAAGACCTTCACACTGGGTACTCACTCTCTGATTTATAGTCATTAGGGATACATCATTTTAACTGTATATTTCGTTAGTGGTGGTTGTTAATAGCTTCATTGAGATATAATTCACGTACACTGAGATCATAGATTAATTTACGTTTTAAATCATGGAATTCACTGATTTTTAGTATATTCTTGGAGTTGTATTGCTATCATCATTGTCTAATTCCAGAACACATCACCCTATAAAAAAACCCTCTATACCCCTCAGCTGGTGCCCCTTATTTTCTTCATCCCACTAAGCACCAGGCAGCCACCAGTCTACTCTCTGTTTCTAGAAATGTGCCCATTCTGGACATTTCATATAAACAGCACAACATGTGATTCTTTATGTCTGGCTTCTCTCAGTGTAATGTTTTCAAGGTCCATCCATGTTGTAGCATGTATTAGTACTTCGTTCCTTTTTATTGCCAAATATTCTATTATGTTTGTACCATATTTTGTTTATCCATTGTTCAGTTGATGAACTTTTGAGTATTATGAATAATGCTACTATGAAGATTTGTGTAGAAGTTTTGTGTGGACCTGTGTTTTCATTTCTCTTGATGATATACTTAGCAAAGGAATTGCTGGGTCATATGGTAATTTCATGCTTAACCTTTTGAGGAGCTGTCAGAATGTTTACATTGTAGTGGTTGCTTCTTAATGCAGAACTCCCTTTCTTCACACACTAACATTAAAACTATAATAGTTTTAAGTGATAACTATTTGAACACTGTCACCAAAGCCTTCTGATTTTTTCCACAAGTATTGCACGTTGTACATAATGATCAACAGCATATTTGAACACCTAATAATTTTCCAGCAATTACTTTATGTCCAAAGTTAGTTCAGGGGGCTTTGAATAATAGGCTGAAGCTTATCAACCTATAGAAGTGATAAACAGAATAACTGACCATTTTGATTCAGGCAGAATTCCTTCCTAAAGGTCAGTGCTAAGGCACTTGGTAATCCAAATATTTGCTTGTTTTTTAAATTCAAGTAAAACATCCGTAGAGGACAGTTTGCAGACATTAAGTATTTAACTTGATGAATGTTCATTTAATTTTGACCTTTGACACAGGAGCTAGTAATAGTACTCCATGTTGCTCTTTCATCTTTGTTTCAGACCTTGAATAATTCATTTGGCTATAATCCAGGAAAGAGATTCAACAGTGGAGTACCTAATTTTAATTTATATTCATATTTATGCATTAGTAATAAGTGAGACAAAATTAATGAGAGATTTAGGGGTAGATTTAAGTGAAGTGCTTGAATGGATTTGCCACTTCCTGCATGAGAAAAATCATTCATATGTTAGAATTCTGGCAATGTAGGCACTATCCATAATAATAGCAGACTGTGTTAGTGGGAAATGAGGAGAGAAGAAACTTGAAAGAGTCAAGAATTGGGATGATTGGTGACTACTTAAAGCAAGTGTAAAACTAAGAGCCAGAATAGCAAGCATCAGGAGCCTTAGTAAATCTGAGGACCTATCGGTAATAGAAGTATGGGTTATTTCTTGTTGAGAAATTTCCAAGGGAATACTTTCCTATAAGGAATTAATTGTATCTCTCAAATGTATGTAATTGTAAGTAAATATTCTGGTAGAAATTCAGAAGCACGAAGAGTTTTCCTTTCTTTAATTATTTCCAGTAACTTGTCCTGTGCATAGCAGTTGAACTCATTTTGTTTTTAAGTTAAAGAAATAATTTCCTTTAACGGACTAAATTCTGTGGGAAGAATACTGTGTTTAAGAGCGATGATTTCTTCTGGCTCAGCTTTCTGTAGTAAAGATGATTTGAAGGCTGTGCTGTAAAACACAGACAGACCCATCATGGTCTTTGCCTGCTTCAGTTGCAGCAATATCAGTACTACAGTGCAGGCCTGCTCTCCACACATGACCCTTTCTATGAGCAACAGCGGCACCTACTTGGACCTAAAAAAAAGAAATTCAAGGAGGAAAAGAAACTTAAAGGTGAGCATGTTGAACTGTCTTCCATATTTATTCATTCTTAGTTTCAGAATTGTGTGTGGCTTGCTAGTGTGTTTGGACTTTATGTATAATCCATATGGTAGAAATTTGCTTTATCTGAAAAACCCTAGTCTCCCCTTTCTAATTAGTAGTAAGTACAGTTGTCCCTTGGTATCCATGGGGGATTAGTTCAAGGCCCACCCCCAGCAGATATCAAAATCCAGGGATGCTCAAGTCCCTTATATTAAATGGTGTAGTATTTGCATACAACCTGTGCACATCCTCCCATATACTTTATTTTTTATTTTTTTTGAGACAGAGTCTCATTCTGTTGCCCCGGCTAGAGTGCTGTGGCATCAGCTCACAGCAACCTCAAACTTCTGGGCTCAAGCAATCCTACTGCCTCAGCCTCCCGAGTAGTTGGGACTACAGGCATGTGCCACCATGCCCGGCTGATTTTTTCTCTCTATATATATTTTTTAGTTGTCCAGATCATTTCTTTCTAGTTTTTAGTAGAGACGGGCTCTCACTCTTCCTCAGGCTGGTCTCGAACTCCTGACCTTGAGCGATCTACCCGCCTTGGCCTCCCAGAGTGCTAGGATTACAGGCATGAGCCACCGCGCCCGGCCCTCCCATATACTTTAAATCATATCTAGATTACTTAAAATACCTAATACAATGTAAATGCTGTGTAAGTAGTTGTTATACTGTTTTATTTATTTATTTGAGACAGAGTCTCACTCTGTTGCCCGGGCTAGAGTGCCGTGGCATCATCGTAGCTCACAACAACCTCAAACTCCTTGGCTCAAGTGATCCTTCTGCCTCAGCCTCCCAAGTAGCTGGGACTACAGGCATGCACCACCATGCCCGGCTAATTTTTTCTATGTATTTTTAGTTGTCTGGCTAATTTCATTCTATTTTTAGTAGAGATGGGGTCTCGCTCTTGCTCAGGCTGGTCTCGAACTCTTGACCTCGAGCGATCCACCCGCCTAGGCCTCCCAGAGTGCTAGTGTTACACTGTATTGTTCAGGGAATAATGACAAAAGTCTGTGCATGTTTAGTACAGATACAACCATTCATTTTTTTCCCCCAAATATTTCTCATCCTCTGTTGGTTAAATATATGGTTGCAGAACCCACGGATCTGGAGGGCTGGCTGTATTATTAACCTCATTTCATATTTGGGTTATGGTCTTTTCTAGAATTAGAAAGACTTAAGAACCACAGATTCCTAGCTAAACGTTTCAGCAAATTATTTTATTCCTTTTTTCTTCTACATGCTCTGCAAATGTTGAAAATGTTCTGAGATAGGAGAATATTGGTTATGCATGGGAAAGTATGAAAAGTAACTCAATGTGTTAGGAGTAAGTTATAATTGCTGCTGTTTCAGGTGATTTGAAATAGATCACCTCCTGATGATCGTGTGTGGTGTTTGTTTGCATACTTGCCAGGAAATGCCCTTTCCTCTCTTGCTGAGTTCAGAGCAGTTGGAAATTAGGAAGAAAACATGATGGAAAAAATTTGAACTATCTATGTAAGGCAGATTTTATTCCTCTGAAAGTATGGACTCTGCTCAGAAAGACACTTTTTGGTCTTCTTCACTTTTTCCCACTTGCTGATTGTTTATCTCTGTGTTTTTTCTTCCTCCATACCTTCCTACCAACCCAAATTAAGTTTTTGTTCCATGTATGATTTTTCTCCTGCAAGTCTTAGTGTCATATCAATTAATACTTTTTTTTAGCCACTTTATACAGCCGCCAGGTAGAAATAAGATTTCTTTCTTATGACTATTTTTTATTGTTATTTTTAATTTTTTTACAAGGAACCTTTTCACCAGGATTTTTTTTTTTTTGATACAAGAGTCTCACTCTGTTACCCTGGGTAGAGTGCAGTGGCATCATCGTAGCTCACTGCAGCCTCCAACCCCTAGGCTCAAGCAATCCTCCTACCTCAGTCTCCTGAGTAGCTGGGACTAGAGGCACATACCATGATGCCTGGCTAATTTTTGTATTTTTGGTAGAGATGGGGTCTCACTCTTGCTCATGCTGGTCTCGAAGTCCTGAGCTGAAGCAATCCTCCCGCCTCAGCCTCCCAGAGTGCTGGGATTATAGACATGAGCCACCACGCCCGACCAGATTTTTGCGTTTTTTTTTTGGTTTTTTTGTTTTTTTTTTTTTTGAGACAGAGTCTAACTTGCCTGGGCTAGAGTGCCGTGGCATCAACCTAGCTCACAGCAACCTCAGACTCCTGGGCTCAAGTGATCCTCCTGCCTCAGCCTCCCAGGTAGCTGAGACTACAGGCACGTGCCACCATGCCCAGCTAATTTTTTTCTATTTTTAGTTGTTTGGCCAATTTCTTTCTGTTTTTAGTAGAGACGGGGTCTCGCTCTTGCTCAGGCTGGTCTCGAACTCCTGAGCTCAAAGAAATCTGTCCGCCTCGGCCTCCCAGAGTGCTAGGATTATAGGCGTGAGCCACCACGCCCAGCCCAGATTTTTGTTTTTGTACAGTACAAATTAATCAATTTAAAACAGTTACAAAAAAACACAGCAAAATAGAGATTATCTTTAGAGTTATTAGTGCTTTGTTAAAGACCAGGTAGGATTGGAGGGTAAGAAATGGTATAGGGTAGCGGGAGCACCTGACTGGCTCTGAAGCTTTAGATATACAGTACAGTTGATTACATATTAATCTCATGACTATCACTTGAGCCTGTGGTACTTCATAAACCTCCTTCCCTCCTATTGAGTTAAAAAGAAATTGGATTCTCAGGTTTTATGCTATATTTCTCTTTCATGTAAACAGAGGAAGTGTCCACTGTTCTTTTCTAGGTTGGTGAGATCTTCCTCTTGGAATATTGATGGGCCTGATTAGATAAAGGGATAAATGTTGCCAGTCTCAGGTGGAATAAGGAAAGAACCTTGAATTTTCTAAAAATGATAAAGTTACTTTGTGACTATCTCCCGTGGTAGGGGAGAAATACAACCTTGTTAGCATCTGTTTCCTTTGCAGCCAAGTTGAAAAAAGTGAAGAAAAAAAGAAGAAGAGATGAAGAACTTTCCTCTGAAGAATCCCCTCGTCGTCATCACCACCAGACCAAAGTCTTTGCCAAGTTTTCTCATGATGCACCTCCCCCTGGCACCAAGAAAAAGCACTTATCCATTGAGCAGCTTAATGCTCGTCGCAGGAAAGTATGGCTCAGCATTGTGAAAAAGGAACTCCCAAAGGTAAGTGAATGGCTTTAGTAGAGGGGGATGTGGATAATATTTTCTCTCCTTATCCTCTAAGGAGAAGCTATGACAGCTAGATACCTATATAAATAGGGATTCAGAAAGGAAACTAATCTGTTGGAATTAAGAGAATTCTGAGTAGTACTCTTGTTTTATTAACTGTTTTTTCTAGAATTTGATCAGAATTCACAACAGAGTTATTGTCTGATGCTCCTTGGCCAGAAAAATGGAAGGAAACCTCTTAGAGGAAGGAATGTAGTTTTCTTAAAAATAGCAGTACAGATTTGACAGCAAATTGATAGGTGATAATAGAGAAAACTAAACTAAAAAGGAGATGATATGTTTCTTACAAAATTTATGAACACTTGAAAGTTGCAAATAATTACAGGCACTAGAAATAAATGTGAATGATTTAAAAGAAACATGTATAAACATTCTTTTTACTCTTTTTGTTTGGTTTTGATAGCATTTCATTTTGATGCAATTTCAAAATTAAAAGTTGCAAGAATAGTGCATGGAACGTTCATATGCCCTTTACTAAGATTCGCCGATGTTTTGTATCATACCCTTAATGATGAATTGCATTTAATGCTGATACGAGCAAGATATTTCATTATAAATTAGATATTTCATAATCATGATATTTTATGAATTTAGACAAGTTGATACTGAAGTCCATATGGATAAAGTCAGTATGCAAGAGTAGCTAGGGAAGAATTGAAAAAGCCCTACCAAACATTAAAACATACTACAATTTGTACACAGTGGCTCACTCCTGTAATCCCAACACTTTGAGAGAGGCCAAGGTGGGAGGATCACTTGAGTCCAGAGTACAAGGATACAGTGAGCTATGATCATGCCACTGCACTTCAGCCTGGGTGAGACCTTGTCTCAAAAAAACACACACACACACAAAAAAAACCCCAAAACCTCTATAATTAAAAAATGTGGTACTGGCAGATGAATAAGGAAATTAGACCTGTAGCATAAACTGGTGGAGTGGTGCTGGGAAAACTGGGTAGCAATTAGCAAAAAACATTCTTTGGAATGCTTTTTGGAAAAAGATAAAATTAGATCTGTATCTCACACGTATACTCCATATGGTTTAGGGATCTCAGAATGTAAAAAAATATGAAACCATAAAAATACTAGAAAAAAATGTGATTGCATTCCCATGTAAACTTTGTATAAGAAAAGAATTTCTAATTATGACTCAGTGTCTAGCAGAAATAAAAAAAATATTGATAGATTTGACTATATAAAAATGAATTTTTTCACAACAAAAAAATCAAAAGATAACATAAATTGGGAGAAATTATTCACATTGTATGTCACAGTCAAAGGGCTATTATCTAATATTAATATATAAAGAACCCTTAAAAATGAAGGGACAAAGGATCACATACTCAGTAGGCAGATGGAAAAAAGATAGGAATAGACAATTCACAAAGAAAGTTATGAAAATGGCCCTGAAACATAGGAAAAAGGTTCAGAATCTTTAATTGATGTACCACAAATTAAAATAACACCTAGATACTCTGTCACCTATCAAACTGGCAAAAATTTAAAAGTGCATCAACATGTTCTGTTAAAGAGGCTGTGGGGAAACAGGTACTCTCGTACATTGCTGGTTGGAAACTTGGCCATACCTTCTCATAAACACATGCACTTAGGTTTTGACTCAACACTCCCGATTCTGTGAATCTACCCTGAAAATAAACCTCCAAGATATAAAAATACAGGTACATAAGGTTATTCATTGTAGCATTATTCGTAATTGCAAAAGAAGGAAAACAACCTGAATGCTCATGCGTGAGAGAGTGCTTGAATGAAGCTATGCTTTAAAGCTACACAGTAGAGTATTACGCAGCTGTTAGAAAGAAGAAAGACTCTCTTTGAACTGATGTGGATTAATTTCTAGGATATACTGTTAAGTGAAAAAAAGCAAAGCATAAATGAGGATTTATATTATGTTATCCTTCATGTAAGAAAAAAGGGAATATAAGAAAATACCTAACATATCTGCTTATTCATGCAAAAGAAATTTAAGAAGATTAACCTAAAAATTAAAGTGATTGGAAAAGGATTAAAAAAAGAATGGGAAAAATGGGAACAGGGTCACAGGAATGAGGAGGGAATCTTTGTGTGTAAGCATGCTCCAGATATATTGCAAGTTCAGTTCCAGACCATTACAATAAAGTGAGTCACACAAATTTTATTGGTTTCCTAGTGCATACTAAAGTTATGTTTACACTATAATGTGGTCTATTAAGTGCGCGACAGCATTATGTCTACAAAATCAATATATATATTTTAATTAAAAAATACCTTATTGCTAACAAGGCTGACACAGAGACACTAAGTGAGCACATGCTGTTGGAAAAATGGCACCAATAGACTTGCCTGATGCAGAGTTGCCACAGTCTTGAAGTTGTAAACAGTGCATATCAGTTGGGTGTAGTAGCTCATGCCTGTAGTCCTAACCCTTTGGGAGGCTGAGACAGAGGATCACTCAAGGCCAGGAGTTCGAGACCAGCCTGAACAACATAGTAAGACCCTGTTTCTACAAAAGATAAAACAATTAGCTGGGTATCGTAATGTGTGCCTGTAGAGTTTGAGGAGTGTGAGGGCCTAGAAGCAATGATACCCCAGAAGCCGTGAGGATACTTTTGCTTAGATCTTGGTTTCCAAAAACTCTTTAAATTCACCAGTGAAAGGAACCAGGTTTCCCTGGATAAATAGTTTATGCCACCAATGTATAGGAAAAATATAAGATTAGTGTGAAACATTTTGTGGTGTCAGAAAGTAAGGCAGTGCTCAAATAAAGATAGGGGATTGTCAAAGGAACACAGAGGCCAACCGAAAGGAGTTCCTAATGGCCAAAGCTAGAACAGTATGGGCAACAAAAAAATAATGATAGTATTGGACTTCAGCCTTTAGAATAAAAGAAATATTCATGAATCCATACTGTTATAAATAAATAATTGAATAAGTAAATAGGTGAAGTAGAAGAACATCTTTTTTTTACAGTAGAATTCCAATTAATATATGTAGAAGAAAAGAGGGAAGTAGAGAATCATCATTAGGCAAACATTGAGTAATAATTGTTGGAGACCAGATCCACTGATGAATGCTAAAATTAGAGGGCAAAAGTTAGAGGAGAAACAGGATTTGCATAGACTCAAAGCATTTACTCCAGCGTATGTATTAGCACAAAAGAAAAGATGGTAATGATAGTGGTGAAAATTGGCAGAAAGCACCTTAACCAAGTGATCAAAGTAAGCATCCCTAATATAAATTTTAATGTCATTAACTCTTTGATGTGATGCACTGAGGACACATCATTTCTCTGATACTCTTGCCAAAAATGCATAACCTTATTCCATCATGAGAAAATACCAGAAAATCCCCAATTGGGAGTCATTCTACAGAATAACTTGAGTGATACTCTTCAGAAGTGTCGAGGATATGAAAGAGAAAGATTGAAGAAATACTATGGATCTGAAGAGACTAAGGAGAAAACCAGCCAAATGCAATGTGGTATGCTGCCTAAGATTCTGGAACAGTAAAAGAATGTCAGTGGAAAAATTGTTGATGGTCAAATAAGACCTTTAGTTAATAATATTGTACCAATGTTAATTTCCTTTTCTTAATAATTATACTGTAGTTAGTGTAAGATGTTGAAATTAAGAAAGCAAGAGGGGATTTCCAAGAACTCTGTACAGTGTTTGCAATTTTTCTGTAAGTCTAAAGTTAGTTTAAGCCTGCCACAGTGGTACACATTTGTAGTCCCAGCTATTCAGGATCTGAGGCAGGAGGATTGCTTGAGTCCAGGAGTTTGAGTACAGCCTAGGTAACATAGCAAGATCTTATCTCTTAAAAAAAAATTCAAAATAAAAAAATTCTAAATATATTGCAAGGATATGCCATATATACTTTACTCATATTTAGCAAATGGTTGCCTTATTAACTTTTTTTTTTTTTTTTGGAGACAAAGTCTTACTTTGTCAACCTGGCAGGAGTATGGCGGCATTGTCATATAGCTCAGTGCGACCTCAAAATCCTGGGCTCAAGTCATCCTCCTGCCTCAGCCTCCTGAATAGCTGGGACTACAGGCACATGCCACCATGCCTGCCTAATTTTTGTATTAATATTTTTGGTAGAGGTGGTGTCTTGCTCTTGCTGAGGCTGGTCTTGAACTCCTGACTTCAAGCAATCCTCCCACCTTGGCCTTCCAAAGTGCTAGGATTATAGGCATGTGCCACCGTGCCCAGCCCTCATTAACTTTTGTTATATACATGCATACATTTTTTTTCCTCAACCATTTTTAGAGTTAGAGACTTTGTGCTACACTTACTCCTAGTACTTGAGTGTGTATTTCCTAAGGAAAAGGACGTTCTCTTATATAGAAAGCAGAGTGCATTATAAAGATTAGGAATTTAACAGTGACATAATACCATTATCTGATCCATAGTTCATAGTAAAATTTCATCAGTCGTCTCAATAATGTCCCTTATAGCTTTTTTCCTTCTGATTCAATCCTCCAGGATCCAGCCTAGGACTACGTGTTGCATGTATTTGTCAAGTCTCTTTAATCTTGTTTAATCTGAAATAGTTGCTCAGCCTTTGTCTTTTATACATTGTTATCTTTGAATAGCATCATGCCTGTTATTTCGTAGGATGTTTCTAAATTTGGGTTTGTCTAATATTTCATCATGATTAGATTTGGACTATGCATTTTTGGCAGGATTACCACAGGAATGATGTATCCTTCTAGATATACTGCATCTGATGACATATGGTGTATCTGTCCTAATATTGATGATACTATCTTTGGCCCCTTGGTGTAGTGGTAGTTTACTACTGTAAAATTGAAGTTTTTTTCCATAGCAATTAAGAAGTATTTCTGGAGAGGTAGTTTATGTATGAGCATTCTTGATGGTAAAATTATGGGAAAACCTGTTTAGTACCTGATGAAGAGGCTTCTAATGATGCCTTTTCAACGGTAAGAATTGACTTTTCAATACGAATATTTACGGTTCTTGGCTTTAAAGTGACAATAGCTACTTAAGAATTCAAGGAAATTTTCGATAAAAGGCTCAAAGGTTTCCCTAAGCAGACAGTCTGAGGTGGAAACATTATAGAAATGGCTTTCACACCCTCTGTGTAACTTTGAATCCCTTGTTTCTTCAGCGTCAGGAAGACAGCTCTTTAATAGAGAGCCACTCTACTCTGCCTCTTCTGTGTCTTCTCTCACGTCAGATAGCCATCATGGGAAGTGAGATTTCTCTATTGACCTTTTTTTTTTTTTTAAGCTCGAGTAGAAGACACAAATAGCTGGAAAATGGGTTGTGGGCTGCTGGGTCCTCTTGTGTTAAGTCTGCCTTTGAATTTTTTATTGTAGCTGAAGCTTAAGTGGTAGCAGAAATTGATTAATAGTGACAGGAGGCCCTGGCTGGAGATGGGCCTATAATCACAACCTGGGAGACTATTTTACCTTTCTCGTAATGATTCCTGTATCTGAGTGCCCTGTTCTCTCAGCTTTGTAGATCGGCCTGGAAAGCTATGTGTTTTAATCAGGATGGTGCTAAGGTTTGGGTATGTCACGTTTTCCAGTCCACTTAAAGCCTTATATATAACTTAAATTCTTTCCAAAAGTATACAGAAGGTTCTATTTAAGGTAGCTGCAATACTAGCTTATTCTTCTTAATGCTTCTTTAGGAGCCTATGTATAATGCTGAGATAGTACAATCTGGATGATTTTTATCTTACATATATGCCTGGCTTGACATTTTCTTTTGTTTTTTATTTTGACATTTTATTTTCCCACCCTGTAGGAATTGAATAAAAGACAATGTCAGTCTACATAATGTTATTTCAAAAATTAATCCTAAATGAAATATTATTTTAAATATTTTAGGCCAACAAGCAGAAAGCTTCAGCTCGTAACCTGTTTCTCACCAATAGCCGGAAGGTAAAATTGTAGTTTTAAATTTTCCATTTCATGTTTTGCTGGAATATCTATTCTCTAAGAAATGATGCTGTGAATTTCTTCCCTTAGAGGGAACTAATACAATTTCCTTTCAGAGTTATTTTGAGGATCAGAGGATAAAGTTACTAGTTGCATTTCCCTGCACTAGTTATGCAACCTCTTTTCTCATTTATAAAATGAGGATTATGATAGTATCAACTTCATAGGGTTTCTGTGAGGAATAAATTAGTTTAATATATGTTAAAAAGGTGCTGAACATATAATAAGTGGTGATGGCTATTATCATTAATGTGTGTGATAACACTTTGTAACTTCCTAGCACATCTTAGGGCCTTCTTAGTCATTATACTTTGTTTCATCTTCTAAAGTGATAGATGTGGACAGATTTCGTATACCTGATAATACTGCAGGGTCTGGGTCATATTACTATACAGGGACATTAATCAAGTTGGGAGAGAAAGAGATGTGGCCATAGGATTACTACTTGTACCAAACAGATTAAGAAATGATGTAGTTTAGAGTCCATGGAGAACCATCCTCTGATATTGGGTCTGCCCTATTGTGATGATGATGTTGTTTGCAGCTTGCCCACCAGTGCATGAAGGAGGTGCGTCGAGCTGCCTTGCAGGCCCAGAAAAACTGTAAGGAGACCTTGCCTCGTGCCCGCCGTCTCACCAAGGAGATGCTTCTATACTGGAAGAAATATGAGAAGGTAGAGAAGGAGCACCGCAAACGTGCAGAAAAGGAAGCTTTGGAACAGCGGAAGTTGGATGAGGAAATGCGGGAGGTAAGGCAAAAGCATAAAATTTTGAAAATCCTAATTACTACAGCCACATCAAGTGATTGGCTTGCAATTTGAAAATTATAGGCCGGGCGCGGTGGCTCACGCCTGTAATCCTAGCACTCTGGGAGGCCGAGGCGGGTGGATCGTTTGAGCCCAGGAGTTGGAGGTTGCTGTGAGCTAGGATGAAGCCACGGCACTCTAGCCCGGGCAACAGAGTGAGACTCTGTCTCAAAAAAATAAAAATTAAAATTAAAAAAAAAAAAATTGTACATCTAACCAATGAAACTGTCAAAAAATTTTTAGGCTTAACTCAAAGGTAGAGATTTTAGTCCATTGAACTAATTTTGTTTTTATTCTTTTGGTAAGGCCCTCCTGTTGAGCTTTGCCTCTTTTCTTCTACACTATCTTCCTCTATTCTCTGCAGCCTTATTCTTCAACAAAAACGCATGAGTAAAAGAAAAAGAAAGCATCTTATAGTTCATCTTGGCTTGTTTCCAGATGCTGGCTATAGTTTTGATTTATTTTTTTGTGACAGAGTCTTGCTCTGTTGCCCGGGCTAGAGTGCTGTGGCGTCAACCTCATTCACAGCAACTTCAAACTCCTGGGCTCAAGCAGTCCTCCTGCCTCAGGCTCCTGAGTAGCTGGGACTACAGATGCACACCACCACACCCAGCTAATTTTTTCTGTTTTTAGTTGTCCAGCATTTTGTTTTCTATTTTTAGTAGAGACAGGGTCTCACTCTTGCTCAGACTGGTCTCAAACTCTGGAGCTCAAGCAGTCCTCCTGCCTTGGCCTCCCAGAGTACTAGAATTACAAGCTTGAGCTGCCATGCCTGGCCTGTAGTTTTTTGTGTTTTTTTTTTTTTTTTTTGAGACAGAGTCTCACTCTCTTGGTGAGTGCTGTGGCATTAGCCTAGCTCACAGCAACCTCAAACTCCTGGGCTCAAGCAATCCTACTGTCTCAGCCTCCCGAGTAGCTGGGACTACAGGCACACGCCACCATGCTCGGCTAATTTTTTCTATATATTTTTAGCTGTCCAATTAATTTCTTTCTATTTTTGGTAGAGATGGGGTCTCCCTCTTCCTCAGGCTGGTCTCGAACTCCTGAGCTCAGAATGATCCGCCCGCCTCGGCCTCCCAGAGTGCTAGGATTACAGGCGTGAGCCACCGCGCCCAACCTGGCCTGTAGTTTTGATTTGTTGGATATTAAGGGTTAGATCCAAAATTTAGGGCCAGATAGGGACAGCGGATGATTAGACTGGTTTTCTGAGACCCACCCCCCCACATACTTTACTGTTTTAATTTGTAGCCACTATTATTGCTAAACCTGATGTCAGCTGATCTAGGCTGTGTATATTGTTGAGGGAAGCAAGAGGAGAGAACAAGGGGGCAAAATCATTATATTGCCATTTGTAAAACAGTTAAGAAAAATGGAAGGAAAGTGGAAGTTTAAAGAAAGAAGGGAATCAGTGGTTTGGATGATGTTTTCTTTCAGATATAGCTAGTAAGTTTTGTCAGAGTACAGCTTTGGAGCCTCTTCTAAACTCTTGATCTTCCCTTCATTATCATGGCTTTGAGGATAAAGATGGATTTTGCTCAGTTCTATTAAGTCCCTTGAGTAACTTGTATCTTTGCATGTAAGATGAATGTATTACTGAGTTAGTGTAAACATTTGATGCTGTTGGGACTACTTAACTCACTGAGTTTAGGGGCATTTGAAAATTTTATCTTTTTATTTTTTTTCTTCCCACCCCCCCCCTGAGAATTTTAAATTTTTAAGTGGCTTACTTTATAATCTAGATTTGTGAGACCTAGATTCTCTCAATTTTGTTGATAGCTGATTGATAGGAATTTCATCTGTGGTTATGCTGATTTGTGTGTCTTTCTTTTAACTTTTGAAATAAAACTTTGCTGGCCAAACATGGCGGCTCACACCTGCAATCCTAGCACTCTGGGAGGCCGAGGTGGGAGGATCGCTTGAGCTCAGGAGTTCGAGATCAGCCTGAGCAAGAGTGAGACCCTGTCTTTACTAAAAATAGAAAAAATTAGCTGGACAGAAATAGAAAGAAAAAAATTAGCTGGGCATGGTGGCACGCACTTGTAGTCCCAACTACTCAGGAGGCTGAGACAGGAGGATTGCTTGAGCCCAGGAGTTTGAAGTTGCTGTGAGCTAGGGTGATGCCATGGCACTCTAGCCCGGGTGACAGAGTGAGACTCTGTCTTAAAAAAAAAAAAAAAAAAAAAAAAAATTAAAAAAAAATTTACATTGCTCATTAAACATGTGGCGGTTAACTACTTTAAGGTGTTATTCGTTTTTTCTTAATTGTTTTACTTTAGAAAGTTTTTCTTGATAGCACCTTAGCTTTAACTCATGAACATCCATTAAGAGAAAAACTTCTTGACATGTCACATTATGTGTTTAAAGAAACAAAAAGAGAAAAACTTTAATTTTCTCTTGTTCTCTCTCAGATTTTCTTCTAATTAGAATCTGGCTCAAATGCTATAAAGCCTTAAAGAGAAAGGGTAATTTTATGTAGCATACTGGTTTGTAAAATATACTTTTGGACTTTTGTCCTTTTTTGCTGTTTTCCTTATTTTATTATTTTTCTTATGGGGAGGTAGAAGGATAAATCAAGTATATACTTCATATGAATTTTATTCTAAAATAGTTATTCAAAACAATTACTTTAACTTCGTATTTATAGAGTGTGCTATATTCCATATAATTTGGCCTTTTGGATTATTTTGTTTATTCATTTTATTGTTTATCTTAAGAATAATTTTATTTATTGACATAGTGATAATTTTTCTTACCTGGTTATTTCAGAGGCAATTTTAATTTAGCTTTCTCACATTAAAAAAAAATGCACACACATAATCAGTCTTTATTCATGTTTTGTAGCTATTATAATTACAGATGAACTGTAAATTGTTTTGCGGGAAGAAAAAGAAAGCATCTTATAGTTCATCTTGGCTTGT